TTTTTTTTTTGCTTTTTACTTGGGTCTTATTATACTCTATCGACTCATCAAAATGTTTTCACTTTCTTATGTTTCAGTTCTTTAATTTGTAGTTTTATATAGCGCATAGTATAGGTGTGTAAACTAAAAAGTAAATTAATGGATAATTGGAATAGTAAATGATCCTCAGTTCATCCATCAACTTCCTTTATTGATGCCAAGCTTGGAAAAGAAATTGATCTATAGCCAAAGTCTAAATCCGTATTAACACCAGTTATCTTGTATCCTATGATATCTTTTATGAGTCACAACATTGTTTTGCCCGCTTTTGAATTTGCTGATGTTTGTCAATCGGTATATGTTGTGTAAGATGAAGATAACGGCTGTGACAATCCTTACGATTAGATAAATTCGCAATCTGTGGTTTTTAATTAGAGTGTTGGTTTCATACACGCAAGATCGAGATGTTTTTTTCTGCTCTAGCTGCATATTTACTACATCTGCAAAAGGAAAGCAAATTTACGGACCAAATTACTCATGAAAGTTTAGCCTTATTAGTAATATTTGGACGCATTATCCAAAGCAAAGAGTTCACCAGTTCATGCGACAGTGATTACTTTAGGAGGGGTTTTTCTCTTTTCTAACGAGGAAGGATACTCGGTTCGAAGGGAAGTTCATTACAAGGTTAATACTTTGAATGCAGAAGCACTGATTCTAAATTTGGCCTCCATATATGCGAAGCGTTTTTTGAGAGAGGCTATAGTTTTTTTCCTCTGCCGAAATTGGTAGATTTGGAGTAAGAATCAGGATTACAAGATTAAAGACCAAAAAATTCTAGAGTTCAACTTTGGTCCAAAACAGCAACTTGTGGTTTTAGGTTGAATTTGATATTCTAGAACAATTACTGACGAGGCGCACAGGTTATTCGCTACAAAACCTTCATAATTTTTTTTCCGAAACGCTCTGCAGGTATGGAAGGCAGATTTGGGCCAGCGTTTTGAACTGCACCTACCAGCATGCATTTTTTTTTTCGAATTGCCATATCGACCAGGTATCCTTCCCTTATAAGACCATTTTGCATGTTGACTAAAGCTTCTGTCTCTGGAAGGACTTGTAAAGAGCGTTGCGTTATAGTATCAAAACTGCCACAGTCACTTTATTTTCATGCGCATTACCTTGCAGATTAT